TTATCTTGTCTCCAAGCAAGATTTCAGCCGGGCACTCCCACGTTATCTCCCTCTGCTTGAAAAACATTTTCCATTAACACAACGCCCCAGTGACTCACCCCTCCGGCTCCCGAGGCAGAACACCGAAAAAAAAAAAAAAAAAAGAAAAAAAAAAGGGGGGGGGAGGGGGAAATCACCAAAATCCAAAAAAGCAGAGTTTTCTTCGCCTCAGTTCCCGAGGGACGATTTAAAGAACAAAGAAAACACCTCCCCAGCCCTTGGACAGCCTCATTGGGAGGCTCCCGGCGCTGCATTCCTGCCTTCCCTTGGGGCGGCTTTCCGAATGAAACATTACTGAACGAAAAACAAACTAAAGCGTTATTTATTTACAGCTATTCTAACAAAGGAGAGGACGCGGTGTTCTTTACAGTGGGAACCAAAAAATCCCCAAAAAAAACCCCAAAAATTAACCTGTTCGGAGGAAAGAGGAGCGAGGAGCCGCCGCCGTCTCCCAGCAGCGCGGCCGCCTCGGGGCAGCAATGGCGGAGAAGCTCCTCCCTGCAATTCCCGATCCCTGGCGTATTACCGGGATTTATGAGCCCCTGACACCCCAAGAAGAGGCAGGCAGAGGCTGGCGGCTTCAAAGACCACAACTTTCACATCGCCAAGGCCGTGCCCTCCTTCTCGGGGTGCAAGGGGCTCCCGCAGTCAAGCAGGCCCTGGCAGTCGTAGCAACCAAGGGCCCCAAAAAAGACAACTAAGGCTATCAAATCAAAAAAAGTGGTACTGAAGAGCTCAGCGAAGCCAAAGGCAGCAGTATCCAGGAAATCATGATTTATAAGTAAAGGAAACTTTTGCAGAAAAACGCCAAGAGCACTTTTAAGTACCACTTATGCTGCCAGAATGAAGGAGAAAGAATTAAAGCATCAGTTCAAGCCCAGACTAGTACATCATGACTCCCTTCCTGTGTTTGTGACTTTCATTAGGGCTTCTACACGAACTGACACTCCAGCCAATTCTGCAGCTGTCCTCACCATCTCCCCTCACTTAATTCAGAATACCTGATGCTACCTTTTGGAACCCCTCCTGGACTGCGCCCCAGGGAAGTACTTACAGTTATCCTCCTATTGCCTAAAAGCTTGAAGTAGCAAACAAGAAAAAAAGAGAACTACAGAAAGCAGAAAATCGCACACACTTCGCAGAAGGTACTCGAATGCCTCCTCCAGCCCCAGCGCAGGGACAGGCGCGGCTCGCAGGCAGGGGAGGGGCCGCAGCCCCCGCGGTTTGAAAGCCGCGCGTTCCGGCCGGATTGGCCGGCGGCGGCCCCGAGCCCGCCCCGTCCTTCCTCCCCTGGGGCAGCGGCGCCTCACCCCGCGGAATCCGCCGGGAGGGAGGCAGCAAGCACAGACTTGCAGAATCCACATGGCTTCTTAAACTACACAGAGGTGACTGATTTAATCAGTCGCAGCCGCTACCTTTTATTGATTTTTTTTAAAAGGGAAACCAACGCCTGCTTACATAAGTACTTTTACTTCTAGGATAAAGAGGGGAGCAAGCTACAGATCAGCAAGACAAAGCTAAAGATACACAACATTTTAGATGCCACCCCGAAAAATTTCAAGTTTCCCGGTGTATTAATATAACATGTATTCCTAGAGTCAAGCGTTCCTGCTCTTTCTAGGAAGATGTGGGTGGCTCTGAAAAGAGCCTTTGGGTTGTTTGCCAGATGAGATTTACTTGGCTTTAGCCTTGTGGCTGTCGGTCTTCTTGGGCAGCAGCACGGCCTGGATGTTGGGCAGCACGCCGCCCTGCGCGATCGTCACCTTGCCCAGCAGCTTGTTGAGCTCCTCGTCGTTGCGGATGGCGAGCTGCAGGTGGCGGGGGATGATGCGCGTCTTCTTGTTGTCGCGGGCCGCGTTGCCCGCCAGCTCCAGGATCTCGGCCGTCAGGTACTCCAGCACGGCCGCCAGGTACACGGGCGCGCCGGCGCCCACGCGCTCCGCGTAGTTGCCCTTGCGCAGCAGCCGGTGCACGCGGCCCACGGGGAACTGCAGCCCGGCCCGCGACGAGCGCGACTTGGCCTTGGCGCGCGCCTTGCCGCCCTGCTTCCCGCGCCCGGACATGGCTCAAATCTCAGGAAAATAGAGCCGAGTACGCGAAAAAGCTGCGCAAAAGCAGAAAAAGACGCTAGGAAAACGAGTAAATGCACCGTGAGCTTAAACGCTGCCTTTTTATACCTTCCTTCGGAGGTTCACTTGGACTTCTAATTGGTGGAGAGAGGGATTGTGAATTTGTCCAATAGGAATGCAGATGGGAGAGTCGACCAATGGAAGATGCACTGGATTTTACGTCACGGACTCTAGCGGTCCAATGGACAAAGACAGCGTTGAGTCATCTCATTTGCATACCGCCCCTATAAATAAGGGGAGCTCTGCTTTTGTATCTACGTCGTTCCTGCGGTAGCCAGGTGTAGACAAACTCGTAAAATGCCGGAACCAGCGAAATCCGCTCCTGCTCCCAAGAAGGGCTCCAAGAAAGCTGTCACCAAGACTCAAAAGAAAGGGGATAAGAAACGTAGAAAGACTAGAAAAGAGAGCTACTCCATCTACGTGTACAAGGTGTTGAAGCAGGTGCACCCCGACACGGGCATCTCGTCCAAGGCCATGGGCATCATGAACTCCTTCGTCAACGACATCTTCGAGCGCATCGCGGGCGAGGCGTCGCGCCTGGCGCACTACAACAAGCGCTCCACCATCACCTCGCGGGAGATCCAGACGGCCGTGCGCCTGCTGCTGCCCGGCGAGCTGGCCAAGCACGCCGTGTCCGAGGGCACCAAGGCTGTCACCAAGTACACCAGCTCCAAGTAAGGAGTTTCGGATCGTCACTTTTAACCCAAAGGCTCTTTTAAGAGCCACCCATATATTCAGTAAAAGAGTCGATCACTATTTTATTTCGGTGAGTGGTGCTTATACCTGGAAATGTTTTAGTCCCTGGGTTAGAACGTGCTGTTGAAACATTAGAGAGAAAAGAGTATCCCGAAAGATTTGTGTCATCTAGTCTGTCCTGTTCTTGTTAGTCCTGCAGGTCTATAAAAGCCTGTTAAGTACCTGAAGTGTTTTAAAGCTATTAAAGATTTATTTATTCGTTTCAGAGAATTTATTAGGTCTAGTTATTCACAATGACAGTTTGTTTTCCTTTTTAAATATTAGATGTCATTCTAGAGTGACTTGGCCAAAATCCAAAGTGGCTTGTTTACCCGGGAAAGTAGGGATCAGTCTGTAATAGAAAGACGATATTTAATGAAAACTACAGCGCTAGACGCTAGATGCACTATGGTTTAGAGAACAACATAATTTTATTACTCCTAGAGATTTCATAGAGTAGTAGTGTACTTTATTAATGTCTCCGACGGATTGGAACCGCGGCAGAATTAAGAAATCCTTAAGTGACAACACAATAGGAAATTACAAGTAAATAAAAATATAAGATACTCAATTGAAATAAAAAAAAAAAGGCCAATTAAAAAATAGCAAATACGAGCGCTTTAACGAACCTCAGGTAGCTTGGGATGCGGAGAAAAGGCTGTATTTGGGTAAAAGCCTTTCACAAGGGAATAAAATCCTGGCTGTCCCTGGCAGAGGCCGCGAAAAAAACACTGCAGATATAGTGAAAACTCCGCGTCTGCCGGCGGGCTGCAGCTATGAGAGCGCTGCGGGCCGTGGCCAGTCCCGCTCGGCAGAGCGGCGCTGAGGGATAAGAGAAAAGGGAGGGCGGCTGCTCCGGTGGAGAGGAGAGGGGGAGGGCGGGGGCGGCTCCCGCCCGCTCCCTTCCCCCGATCGGCTCCGCCGCGCGGGAGTTTCAAACGATGCTCCTTGTCCAATGGCAGCCTGCGTCCCTTCGCGCTGGCCAATCACAGCGCTCTCCTGGCGATAAATAGCGGTCCCTGCGGCCCCCTTCCCGCTCAGTGTTCTCGGTTGGGCAGCGCGGGGTGTTCTGCGGCGATGGCGCGCACGAAGCAGACGGCGCGGAAGTCGACGGGCGGCAAGGCGCCCCGCAAGCAGCTGGCCACCAAGGCTGCCCGTAAGAGCGCGCCGGCCACGGGCGGCGTCAAGAAGCCGCACCGCTACCGGCCCGGCACGGTGGCGCTGCGCGAGATCCGGCGCTACCAGAAGTCCACGGAGCTGCTGATCCGCAAGCTGCCCTTCCNACGGTGGCGCTGCGCGAGATCCGGCGCTACCAGAAGTCCACGGAGCTGCTGATCCGCAAGCTGCCCTTCCAGCGCCTGGTGCGCGAGATCGCGCAGGACTTCAAGACCGACCTGCGCTTCCAGAGCTCGGCCGTCATGGCGCTGCAGGAGGCCAGCGAGGCCTACCTGGTGGGGCTCTTCGAGGACACCAACCTGTGCGCCATCCACGCCAAGCGCGTCACCATCATGCCCAAGGACATCCAGCTGGCCCGCCGTATCCGCGGCGAGCGCGCGTAAGCTTTTGGCAGAAAGAAATTTCAGACCACCGAAAACCCAAAGGCTCTTTTAAGAGCCACCACAACGTCACTAAGGAGCTGTAAATTCCTAGTTATGCCTAAGGAATGTGTTTTGGGTGGTTTATAGCCAAGAAGATCTTGCACGTAAAGTAAGTACAAAGCAATGAATGAATCATGTTTCGAAGGAATTAAATCCTGAGTTTTGCCAAACTCGCACAGTTAATTTTTAAAAGTGATTTTGCTAAAGTTTTCGTTTAGGGCTATAAACTGCTTTCTACATGTTTTTTTCACAGGTCATTTTTTGGTACGTGGGAAACAGTCTTTAAGTGTTCTGAAAGAGTAGATACCCGTTTAAAAATGAGTAGGTTTTATCTTTTGGCATATGTTTTAAAACAATTTGTTCGACGTGTTCGAATTTGTAAAGGAAGAAACTTATAGAATCCTGCTCTCACGATTGGAGAAATTAACTTCATTCTAAATGCCTCCTGTGTATTGTAGATGTGCTGCCTTTATGTCCCTCATTTAACCTCATCGTTTTTCAGTTTATTGCTTTATTATACCAGCAGCAATATTGTATCTTTCACTCCGCCCCCCCTTTTTTATTTTATTTTATTTTATTTTTATTTTTGTGAGGGCCTGTGGGTCTCACTTTCTGTCTGAAAGCGCAAAATCTCCTTTCCCGCCTTCCCTGGAAGGGCTTTCCATCAGTATTTTCCTGGTCGTGAGCGACGTCCCGCGGGCATGTTCAGCCCATTTCAAGCCCTGCTAGTTTTTCCCGGGTTAAATGCATTTCTAAAAGTGGTGGAGTAGTGGGTGAAATATAAGGTGGAGGCAAGGATGTTTTCTGA